GAAATAGCATATGACTGATGAAATTCATTCTTACGTCAGACTCCGAAAAGAATTGAGAATAACTCCGGGGAAATTAGAAGAGTCAGGTAAGATCCTGGAAAAAGACATGTGGGTTAGGGTCCACTGAAATAGAACACCGTTGGAAAGGATTGTTGAACAGATAGATTGAGCACCGGAACAATTGAAATATTTGGATGAGGTGACAACCTCTAATTAATTGGAACATAGACGAATCTCCTGAGATGTCTTGAGCACTCCGGAAGGATAAACTGGCAAAGACGAATGAGCAGGGAAAAACACTTGAGCCGAGGAAAAAGAAAATGATCAACCCGAAAAAACTTGAATTGAGTCCACCGGAGAAGAAAAGAGATGAAGAATGTCGTACAAAACGAGAATTCACCGGTCGAAATGATTGAGGGAAGACTGAAGAGGCTCCACATGAATGAAATAGATGGTCGAGAGAGAGACAGACTCGGGGAAGAAAAAATGTGGGAGGGCTGGAAAACAAAAGCAACTTGGAAGGGGAACCTACGAATAACTTGAAGAGAAAACACCGGTTGAAAACATTGAAGAAAGAAGGCAAAGACTTCACACGAGTAGGATGGATACTCGATTACAGACTCCAGTTCCGAGAAGAAGAACAGGGAGGGCGGGTGGGAAAGAAAACAACTCAGGATAGAACTCAATGATGAAGAGGCTCGAGTCGACTTGACGAGAAATGCACCGGATGAAAAGAGTTGAGGAACAACTACCAGAAAACCAACTGCGTGATCCTAAAGAAAGATTTGAAGGAGAAGAGGAGTAATTCAAAACACCTACGTCAAGATTCCTTACCAGAGCGACGAAGGGGCTGAGGAGTAAAAACAATTCCTACTCTCCGATATAACTAGACTCTGAAAACAGTTTTCTTCTAGACTCAACAACGGCCAGACTGCACGATCAATCAAGGGGGGCTCCTAGGGTCGGTCGAGGCTCTGATACCAACTTGTCACGCCCAATATGCGACCCTATCCAAAAGGAACTCGAAGGTCCCACCAAGGATAGACCCGCATATTGAAACGCTTTTCCAAGGTGGATATCATTACATCAACATTACATAATAGATGGTGATACATACAAAAGGCATACAATGTCACACGAATACAACATCACAATACATCAGAGCATCATCTGACTACGGATGAATCACAAACATAAACTCAAACGACATCCACCCTGCTAGCCCAGGCTGCCGACCTGGAACCTATCCCTGATCGAAGAAGCAGAAGAAGAACTTAACGCAAGCAAGCATCGCTCTCGCGTCATGATCATCGCATAACCTGTACCTGCAACTGTTGTTGTAGTAATCTGTGAGCCACGAGGACTCAGCAATCCCATTACCATGGGTATCAAGACTAGCAAAGCTTAAAGGGAAAGGAAGGGGTAAAGTGGTGAGGCTGCAGCAGCGACTAAGCAAGTATGGTGGCTAACATACGCAAATAAGAGCGAGAAGAGAGCAAAAGGAACGGTCGTCAACTAGTAATGATCAAGAAATGATCCTGAACTCCTACTTACGTCAAACATAACCCAGAAACCGTGTTCACTTCCCGGACTCCGCCGAGAAGAGACCATCACGGCTACACACACGGTTGATGCGTTTTAATTCGGATCTGGTGTCAAGTTATCTACAACCGGACATTAACAAATTCCCATCTGCCTATAACCGTAGGCACGTCTTTCGAAAGATTATACCCTGCAGGGATGTCCCAACTTAGCCCATGACAAGCTCTCGCGATCAACGAAGGAATAGACCTTCTCCCAGGAAGACCCGACCAGACTCGGAATCCCGATTTACAAGACATTTCGACAATGGTAAAATAAGACCAGCAAGACCGCCCGATGCGCTGACAATCCCGATAGGAGCTGCACATATCTCGTTCTCAGGGCAACACCGGATGAGACAGGCTATGAGTAAAACCAGACCTCGAGTTGCCCCGAGGGGGCCCCGCAGGCGGCTCGGTTCGGACCAACACTTAGACAAGCACTGGCCCGGGGGGGGCTATAATAAAGATGACCCTCGGGTTGGCCGACCCAAGGGAAAGGGATAGGTGGTGGTGAGGCAAATGGTAAAACCAAGGTTGGGCCTTGCTGGAGGAGTTTTATTCAAAGCGAACTGTCGAGGGGGTCCCATAAATCACCCGACCGCGTAAGGAACGCAAAATCCGGGAACATAACACCGGTATGACGGAAACTAGGGCAACAAGAGTGGAACAAAACACTAGGCAAAAGGCCGAGTCTTCCACCCTTTACCAAGTATATAGATGCATTAATAATATAAGAGATATTGTGATATCCCAACCAAAATCCTGTCCACCATGGAGAAATCTTCAACTTCACCTTCAACTATCAACGCTATAAGAGGGCTGAGCAAAGCGGTAACATAGCCAAGCAACTGTTTGCATAGGAAAGGTGTCAAAGGTTAGAGGTTCATGGCAATTTGGGATGGCTTGATAAACAGGTGATAGGTAGCGCAGCATAGCGATAGAACGAAACAACTAGCATAGCAATGATAGTAGTGAGATCCAGGGTAGCGGTCATCTTGCCTGAAATCCCGCAAGGAAGAAGAACGAGTCCATGAAGAAGACAAACGGATGAAGCCGAACCAAGCGTAGACGAACGATTCCTCACGATCGCAACGAAACAGGAACTATCGAAAAGAAGCACACAACATAGTAAACACACCACACATGAACAAGGCATGATGCACGAACAAGCATGATGCAAGACAAGACCACATGAAGCTACTCATGGCAAGAGATGATGCAAACAAGAGCAACACATCAAGGCAAGTTTAAATGAGGCCGGGAACAACATATAACAATTTCGGTAAGTCCTCATATGCAAATTTCGAAATTGGTCCAGATCTGAATAAACCTTATGTTCAAGTTGTTAAACAGCAAGTTAAGATGCACAAAGATGATCTACACAAGATTCTAGTCAAGTTACATATAAAGTTCATTTAGTTCGGAGCTACGGTCTAGAAGATATGAGCAAAACAAGTTAAACATGGCATTGATACGAAATGCACTCAAACATCAAGCAAACACCTCAAAATATGGATGCAACATGATAATATGAAACTACATGCAAAATCAAGCAAGTTTCATATAGAGCACACTCAAAACGGAGCAATGTTTCAACACACACACACACAATACAAGTTAAAGGACAAGTTGTCCAAAACAGCAACTAGGCATATTTTAAGCATCAAAACAACATGCTACAGGACCTCAACAAGAAAACAAAAGGCATGGACATGATGTACAGATAAAGCACAACAAAACATGAACACTGAGCTATCTCCAGAAATATGCACACATCAATCATGGCAAAAATGACAAAAGAGCTCGTTCTGATAACAGATAGCAGAAAACATTATGAAGCACTCTTACAACGATGATTCAGGAATCAAGATGATCTCAAATGAATATGATGCAATGGAATGAAATGATGTACTCATCAAGAAGAACAATTTGACATATTACACGCACAAAACGGAGCTACGGGTACAGAGTTACGGCATGACGAACATGGCATGAAAATTACTGCAGATTCGGGGACTTAGTCATTTTCAGAGGGGGGAAAGTCAACCTCGTGATCCAGATCGGGCACGGACTTCGAGGCGCCGGAGATGGACGTGGTGGTGGCCGGAGATGGGCGGGGAAGGTCTCCTCCGGCCGGATCCGGCACGGGGCGGCGGGAGGCGCGGTGGAGGAGCTCCGGGGCGGCGCCGGAAGAGGTCGGGGAGACCGGAGGGAGCCAGGCCGGCCGGATCCGGGCGGCGGCTCGCCGGATCCGCGGCGGAGCGGCGGCGCACCACGCGGGAGGCGGCGACGGCGGCGGTTGGCACGGAGGCCGAGGGCAGCG